GTTTTAAGGTTCCTAGTCTATTTGGTTCCAGCACATAGTAGGTGCTCAATAAATTCTCCCTGCCTCCCTTCTCACAGGTTTTGGAGGTGCTTTTGACAATGATCACTCAGAATGTTTGAATCTCGGTTGCAGAATCCTGCCAGTGTTTCTGTACACTGGGATATTTCCAAGGACTAGGGCTTAAATGTGAACCCCATCAATGGGGCAGAGAGGGGCTCCTGGCCTAGAAGGTAGCCCAACAAGCCCTGGGGCTCTCACAAGGCCTCCTGGTGCCCAGCTCTGCCTCTCAGGAGGGCCTGATGAGAAAGTGGTGCTCAATGTTATTGTTCTAAATTGGTAACCAACATACATTCTTCTGTGGGTGGTAGGATACATCCTGAAAGCTGACACTGCAGCTTTCTGGGCAAATCCAAATTACTTTCCAATGGACTCCTGGAATTTTCTCACGTCAGAGCAAGAATAAACTCTGGGGCCACTGCTGGTAAATTCTCCTGTAGCTGAACTAAATTATATCTTATGTGGCTAACAATTCCTTCCAGTCATTCCCTCTTGAACCCCATATCCTTTCCAATCAGTCCTTGTCCTCAGAAAACATGGCTGCCAGGGTTCCCCTCCCCCTGACGGGTTGAGAGACTACAACTCTAAATTCTGAAGTCTGGGGACCCTGGCTGTTTTTGCTCACTGTACAACACTGGATGTAAAGCATTTCCTGAGTACCTACTACGTGCCAGGCATAGTGATAAGTACATTATGAATTTGAAACTTATTTAATCCTCTCAGCAATCTTGGTAGGCAGGCATTAATACCATTTATGGGAGATTAAGCTGGGGCTTGCAGAAGGTAAGGAATTTGACACAAGTCACACAGAAAATGGACAAGACAAATTTTGGACCCAAATCTGTTTAAACCCTTAAACTCTCCCCACAGTACACGTATATAAAATGGCGAAAGACCTCCTTCATGCAAAGAATGAGGAGACAGGCAGCTCTCTCAAAGCCCGTCTGTGCAGACCTTGCCTTGAGAGACCCAGGTTTGAGTAGCGCTGGAGCAGAAGTGCCGTCTCCCTCACCTCGCCCCACTAAGCATCCAGGAATGCTCCGGGACCTGAAACCCCTGTCCTTTATTTCCTCTCCTTTTGTGGATGAACCCCCACCATTTCTAAAGCTCAAGGAAACTTGGTACCCGCTCTCTCAATTGGGTCATTTCTCTGCCATGGTTCCCCAGAACCAGCAACACATCATCAACTCCTTTGCCCAAGAGGCCCTCAACAACCTAGCAAGTCTGACTACTCTATGAAAGCACTTTTTTACTGTTGACAAAAATCTCGGTTAAGTTCCCTGAGTGGGCAGACTATATTACTCACCTCTGCCTCTGTTTTCCATACTTCATTCATTCAACAGAAGTTTACTGAGCAACTACTGTGTGTCAAGCACCTTTTTTATGTCTTGGAGATAGTCTGGTGAGCAAGGCATGCCACCGTCTCTGACCTCACGGTGCTTATAGCCTGGCAGGGCATAGCACAGGGCCTGGCACTTCACTAAATATTTGCCAGTTTGATGTGTGAAGCCCCAAGGGACTTGCAACATGGAACATGCTGGGGACTCCTCCAGTGGAGAGTTTGTGTCCCACCCAGGATCAGCCCCTCCCCTCATGGGATGCCCCCGTTGGCTCCACTCACTGATGTGGTCGATGGAGCCAGCACAGAACTTCCCGTAGAACTTCTTGGCTCCCAGGCCCCGCAGGTCATGGATGGTGAAAGGCCAGAGGTGCAGCACGTTGTTCCGGGAGAAGGTGTCCCTCTTCTCCACCACGACCACTTTGGCCCCTAGGTAGGCAAGTTCAATGGCAGTGCGCAAACCACATGGTCCTCCCCCAACGATGAGACACTGCAGAAGCGAGAGAGGAGAGAGACACTCAGTGACCTCTATAGCATTGTAGATACAAACTCCTAGTTAACAGCGTAACTGAGGAGCAAACCCCCCACCACCCAAATCAACCAGCAAGCGCACACCAAGTGCACCTGTTAGGACTTGCCACTCATCAATCCAACATGCATTGCTTGTGGGCCTACTGTGCACCAGGCACTGGGCCAAATCCTGTGAGGGACACAGAGGTAAAGGAGCTTGGGGGGAAGCACAGTCAGACACATGTGGGGTTCAAGGGTCAGATGGAACTGGGATTAAATCTCATCCCTGGCATTTGGCCACTTAGTTTTCAGCTGTGAAATGCGTCTACTACACTTTCCTTGTCGGGTTATTGAAAATAAGATTGCTTTTGAAAAGCTTATGGAGCATTCTTGTGACCTTGGATTAAATAAGGATATCTTAGATATGATACCAAAAGCACTAGCAACAAAAGAGGAAGGAGATAAGTTTGACTTCTTCAAAATTAAAAACTTTTGTGCTTCAAAGGCCACTATCAAGAAAGTGAAAAGACAACCCACAGATGTGAGAAAATATCTACAAATCATATATCTGATAAAAGACTAGTATCAAAAATATATAAAGAATTTTACAAGTTAACAATACAAAGACAAATAACCCAGTTAAAGAATGGGCAGATGGTCTGTACAGACACATCTTCAAAGAAGATATATGCATGGCGAACAGCACATAAAAAGATGCTTAACATCATTAGTCACAGGAAATGCAAATAAAAGCCACAATGAGAAGCTACTTCATACCCACCAGGATGGGCATATCAAAAAAAAACAGACAACCACAAGTGTTGACGAGGATGTGGAGAAACTGGAACCCTCACTCATTGCTGGTGGGAACATAAAATGGTGCAGATGCTTTGGAACAGTTTGGCTGTTCCTCAAAAAGTTAAACATAAAATTACCATACGACCCAACAACTCTACTCCTAGGTATATACCTAAGAGAAATGAAAATATGTGTCCACACAAAAACTTGTACATGAGTGTTCACAGCAGCATTATTCATAACAGCCAAAACAACTTCTGTGCATTAACTGATGAATTAACAAAATGTGGTATAGCTACACCATAGAATATTATTCAGCTATAAAAAGGAATGAAGGGCTGACATATGGATGAACCCTGAAAGCATTATGCTGAGAGAAAGAAACCAGAAAACAAAAGGACACATACTGTATGATTCCACTTATATGAAATGTAGAGAATGGAAAAATCCATAGAGACAGAAAACATATTAGCTGTTGCAAGGAAATGGGGGCGGCGAGATTGGGAAGTGGCTGCTGATGGGTATGGGATTTCTTTTTATGGGGATAAAATGTAGAATTAGATAGTGATGGTGGTTGCACGCATTTGTGAATATACTAAAACCATTTAACTGTATACTTTAAAGGGTGAATGTTGTGGCATGTGGATTATGTCTTAATAAATAACTGAATGAGAGAAAAAGCATGGAGTACCAAGTTCGACGCACACTAGTAAAGATGTTGTTTTTCTTACTGCTGAGACCTAGTCCTAGGAACTTTCAGTCTGGGTAAATTCAGGCTTGCGAAATAAATAACTAGAGCCCCAAGTGGTTAGCTCTATTTGGATCCCAGAAGGGGAAAAGCGAATCCTGCCTGTGAAGCTGGAAAAGGCTTCACAGAGGTCTTTAAAAATGATCACCACCACCTTCTTCTTCTTTTTCTTCTTCTTCATCATCATCACCATCATCACAGCCTACACTTGTTGAGCACTTACTATATGCCAGACACTGGTTTAAGTGGTTTATGTGGTTTAGCTCTTAATCCTTACAACAAATCGAAGAGGAAGCAACTATTAACATCCTCTTCTCACAGGAGAAAAGCTGAGGCATAAAGTACGTATCTGGCCCAAGGTTTCACAGACTGAAAGGGGCAGAGCCAGGGTTCAGACCCAGGTGGTTTCACTGCAGAGCCCACCGTGTTGTGCTGCCTCTGGCTTGCCAGGAATAAAAAGAAGAAAGCAAGTTTCAGCAGAGGGTAAGGCCCATTCAAAGGGAAAGGGGGAGAACTTCAAGGTTGTTGGAGAGAGGGATATTTGGGGGGAAGGAAGGGAAAGGAGAGAAAAGAGATGAGAGTGAGTCCAGAGCTGGATGTTGAAGGTCTTTGCCAGGCAAAGGTCTATGGCCTTGGTTCTGTGGGTACTAGGGCCATGGTGGGCAGACAAGCTAAGCCGTCGTGGACACTGTGATGCTGAACAAGACAAGCACCCGTCCCCAAGGAAGCTACAGCCATTTAGGAGAGAAGGTAAGACACATAACGATCCAGCTAGTTATACTGGGCCACAGCCCTTTACTCAAACGAAATCTTATAAGGAGCAACAGTACTATTTAAAAACAGAGGAAAATGGCAGTTTTCTGGCAGAGAAAGTCAGAGACACTTCTACACAGTACCCTGCCCTGCTCCCAGGTAGCCCCTGAAGCAACTTCCCGAGGCAAGAGTTCACCTGTGTGTGTGTGTGTGTGTGTGTGTGTGTGTGTNGAGAGAGAGAGAGAGAGAGAAAAGGGCCATAAGTAAAGTCAGCTATCAGTTGGCTCATTCTGTGTGGGATAAGGCCCAGGAGCTCTTAGCCATCCAGGGTAAGCAGTAGGGAGGGGCATTCTCTCCACAAAGCTGGGCTTATGGTTCTTGGCCTCTTACCCACTCTCCTAAACTCCCCCAGTGAGGGGCATCTTGTTTCTCTATTTTGCTCCCTGCCTTTCAGCACAAATGGGTATGCCTCCAAATATTTTTCTTCAGAGCACAAAGTTTCAAACTTTCCGTGGGTCTCTGCATTTTGTGGGCTTCACTCATTTAATATTTATTGAACATCTACAATCAGCTGGGTGCTATGCTAGGCCCAGGGAATATGAAACACCCCCTGTAATGGAGGAAACACAGGTAAACAGAATGGGGCAGGGCAAGGTGGTTGGGGGGCAGGGGAGTGGCAGAATAGGACTGAGTTGTAGTCCTGAAAGCCAACAGAGGAGGAACCAAGACTATCAACTCTCACAAAGAGATTAAGGACTATGAAGACTGCAGGAGGCCAGGGCCTTTGGGAGTTAGAAGTCTGGAGACCTTGGTGAAAATCCCTTTAGCTCAGTGGTGGGGGAGAAATCAGACCACAATGGAAGGAGGCATGAATGGACGGTATAGACAAAGTCTACATCTCTTCTTTCTAGAATAAATACTTTGAAGTAGAGACAGCAGAGGACCAGAGGGACATTGTGAGGTAAGGAGAAGGAAGGCTAAGTGATGGGGCAGGTGGAAAGGAGAGAAGGGATTCAAGAGGGACAAGAGTTGGAGAGGAGGTGGCCAGCTCTGCCTCTGACCTTGGATTGACAGGAAGGAGTAGGTGAGGGAGGAAGGAGAAAGGGTTCGAAGGGGAAGTGCACCCCAGCTGCTTCTCGTCCCCAGAGCATAGGAGGGAGAGCATCTGCTAAGAATGAGGAGGCTGTGGTGGAGGTTTGGAACAGCCATGGCGGGAACTAGAGGAAGACGCTGACACAGGACAAGTTGAAAACTGCTGAGCAGTGCTGAAGTCCAGGACACAGCTGGGGCTGGAGACCACGGTCGGTCTGAAAGGAAGCCAGTCAGCTGGGGATTAAAGAATCCAAGGCCTGGAAACAAGCATTGGAGGAGGCCTGGCCTCTCCTTATAGTTTTAAGGTTCCTAGTCTATTTGGTTCCAGCACATAGTAGGTGCTCAATAAATTCTCCCTGCCTCCCTTCTCACAGGTTTTGGAGGTGCTTTTGACAATGATCACTCAGAATGTTTGAATCTCGGTTGCAGAATCCTGACAGTGTTTCTGTACACTGGGATATTTCCAAGGACTAGGGCTTAAATGCGAACCCCATCAATGGGGCAGAGAGGGGCTCCTGGCCTAGAAGGTAGCCCAACAAGCCCTGGGGCTCTCACAAGGCCTCCTGGTGCCCAGCTCTGCCTCTCAGGAGGGCCTGATGAGAAAGTGGTGCTCAATGTTATTGTTCTAAATTGGTAACCAACATACATTCTTCTGTGGGTGGTAGGATACATCCTGAAAGCTGACACTGCAGCTTTCTGGGCAAATCCAAATTACTTTCCAATGGACTCCTGGAATTTTCTCACGTCAGAGCAAGAATAAACTCTGGGGCCACTGCTGGTAAATTCTCCTGTAGCTGAACTAAATTATATCTTATGTGGCTAACAATTCCTTCCAGTCATTCCCTCTTGAACCCCATATCCTTTCCAATCAGTCCTTGTCCTCATAAAACATGGCTGCCAGGGCTCCCCTCCCCCTGACGGGTTGAGAGACTACAACTCTAAATTCTGAAGTCTGGGGACCCTGGCTGTTTTTGCTCACTGTACAACACTGGATGTAAAGCATTTCCTGAGTACCTACTACGTGCCAGGCATAGTGATAAGTACATTATGAATTTGAAACTTATTTAATCCTCTCAGCAATCTTGGTAGGCAGGCATTAATACCATTTATGGGAGATTAAGCTGGGGCTTGCAGAAGGTAAGGAATTTGACACAAGTCACACAGAAAATGGACAAGACAAATTTTGGACCCAAATCTGTTTAAACCCTTAAACTCTCCCCACAGTACACGTATATAAAATGGCGAAAGACCTCCTTCATGCAAAGAATGAGGAGACAGGCAGCTCTCTCAAAGCCCGTCTGTGCAGACCTTGCCTTGAGAGACCCAGGTTTGAGTAGCGCTGGAGCAGAAGTGCCGTCTCCCTCACCTCGCCCCACTAAGCATCCAGGAATGCTCC